GTTTTGTTAGCGTATACTATTATTACTCATCTATGAACTTTGATATATATTTTATATGTTTATATATTGAATAATGTTAAAATATTGTAGCTATGTTGCGGTGTCTTCTAAAAAAAATAAATAAAAGTTAAACCAATTTTGCTGGATAGTTAGGTGTGCTCAACAAGATGATTGTCTTTTGTTGGAATGCTTGATTCCATCCAACAACATGTGATGTCTATAATGAATCAATTAACTCAGTTCCGACCTATGATATGGATGTAACATGTAACAACTTGCAGACAAAGATAATTCCCCCCACATCATCTGTCCAACTAGGCTAGTCAAAGAAAATACAGTTTGAATCACAATAGGTGAAACAAACTAAAAATATGCTTGTTGTGGTCGTCTAGGACACAATCGACGAAGTTTATAACGAGATTTGAGTTTAGGTATTTCTGACGTGTTTCTTGTGGTTGAAATTTTCTTTTATTTTTAGAAGATTGTACATTGACCATAGATTTGTATAAAAGACCACTATTGAATGATTGAGAAATTTGACGATATTCCCTTATATATTACTGGGTGTATACAACTATTATATCGGGATACATATCAATCCGAAGAAAATAAGGGTATGTGAATTCACAAAGAAAGTACATTATAAGTTATTATAGTTATATAAAATATGATCAGGAGTAAAAGGTATTAACAACAAAAATACATTATACAATAATTTGCTTATTAAACATGACCTATAGTGTACTCTCATCGTTTATCTGAATTTTTGTTAACATAAATTGAATTTATTTATGAGAGTATTTAATATTTTTGAAGGAGTTGCTACAATAAAAATACGAGTGTATTGTGATGTTCAAGGAATATATTTATTAATACCAGATGTATACATATCCGAGTTAGAGGGTGCGTCTTTGTGCATGACAATATCCATATTTGTATAGAGGTATAATTATTGTAAATATGGGTATTTAAGTATCTATCCAGAATTTTTCATTAATTTTTGTTGGATCAAACAATTATTAGTTGATTACATCATACCTAGTTTCTCGAAAGTTAACGTGCATTAATGGATATTTCTAAAATGACTTATGAAATCATTTATTCATGTATTAAAGGGCGAATGAAAATGCCACTTAAGATATATATATATATGATATAACATATCATGTGGCGAGTCATAATAATAGATATTTTGAAGTTAGTGCATCACTGATGATGCATGATGTTCTCTGTAGTATGATTGTCCGTGCAAGCAATTTTGAGAGTATGAAGAAACTCTCAACAAGAATAAATGTGTTAGAAGGTTTAGTAAGTAAATGTTACACATGGACATATTGAGCCATCTTATCTTATAAGGAACGTATTAGTCATTGATGTGTATATTAAATATATCCATTAGTGTTTTCAAAATATTTGGTGAGTACACATTTTTTCAATATACGTCGAATATGTATAAAATTACTTATAAAACATATTCCTCAAATACGAGTACATTCAATTAATTCAGAAGTATGTAACTTAGTGAAATAGAGGAACAAATATCATTATTGGGAGTATGCGGCTTCCATTTAGAGGCATCTCGACACCCAACCATGATTGCAGCTAGCTTAGATGGCTATGGTTTGAATATATCATTGAAATTTCATCGAATATTGGTGTCTATCAACTAATACTATTAAAATGATCATTGGGATCATTTGTTCATATATTCAAGGGTGGATGAGAATATCACATAAGATAGAATAGACCTAATATATGATGTTGCGGATTATGGTAAGATATATCGATGAGTTAATAGATAACTTATGATATATGTTTCGGTCCCTACATTTTTTATTGGTCTTGTTCATGTTAACATTTTTTATATTAGGAAAAACATCTACAATGAACAAATGTGTTAGAAGGTATGAGAAGTAAATATTATACACGAGACATATGGGGACTATCCACACTATAAGTAAACATTGATCATTAAGGTGTACATTAAACGTATCCATCGGTGTTCTCAGGATAGTATGGTGAGTACACATCTTTTCACTATATGTCGAATATGTATGCATTTACTTACAAAGTTTATTCCTTAATATGAGTAGATGCAATCATGTCAGAAGTATGTAAGTTAGTTAACTGAGGAACATATATCTTTGTTGGAGGTATGTTATTCAAATTTAGGAGTTTCTCCATACCAACCATAAAATTTTGCGCACAAAAATATATTTTTTAATTCTTTGTGTATCTCTAATACCAAGGTTTATACTTATGGAGAATCATATATGTAGTATGTTAAATTAGAAATTATGATGGTCCTTAAAGTTTTTGACAAAATATAACATTAATGACTAACTACACCAATTTTGACAATCATATGCTTCAAACTTCAATTGTTCCCAATTCATGCATAATAATTAAATAAAAATCCGATAAATGATTCTAGACAATCTCTTTAGTGTCTTCTAATGAAATCTTCACAACAATTTATGTTCGATACATTTTGACATCATCGGATTTGGTAGCTCATCTGCTAAGCGGGTAAGTTTTTGTGTTGTATAAAGCGTACATAAGTCTGCAAGAACATATACACACCGATTTAAGTTTATGACATAACTATATAGGTATATAACTTTCTTGTAGAGGAACGTCAATTGAAAACCATAACACACATTAAATATCATTTGTTGTAACAAAAAACATTTGGAGGCACTAACATACACTAGTAAAAACAAACAGAATTTTCATAAATAAAAAAAATAGATACATGAATCACCTGCAATGTGATAGAGATATTAATAAACATCTTCAATACTTAAGAAAGTCACTCCGCATGACAAATTGTCACTATTATTATTTGGAAAACATATCGAACTCCACCCACCTCATATTCGTAACCATTTTACTATAAAATTAAACTTAATAAGATAAAAACTAAGATATTTTTATATACAATAAAGTTATTTATAATTTAAAGCACACCAAAGTAACTATATTTGAAACGATAGTGAGTTACGATGTAAAGTAAGCTTGACTAGCACCTAGGCTTATACAAACCAGATAGACACAAAACTAAAATATCGATTTTACCAAATACAAAAGCTTTAACTTAATTCTTGAATTTTGTTTGGGAGAGGAGACCCTCTTCGACATTTCGAGTAAACTGTGCACTTTTGTTTTATCCTCTCAGTTGGTATTTGATAATTTTTTTTTTAGTGCATTGGCAATGATGATTTCAAGGATGACGATCGGATGCGACGGCCTAAAAATGAGAGGAGAAAAGTTTCTGAAGAAAATGAGTGATTAAGATCGTATATATTTTTTAGGGTTTTTTTTTTTTTTGTGGGTGTTATTTTTATAACCGATTATAGTATATAAATAATAAATCAAGGTACATCACCTTAGAATTAAACATGTATAGCATAACAATTTTAAAGCACGTAAGTAAAGAATGTAGGTTTACATAAACGCAACGGAAGTATATAATATATTCGTTATATAAATTTATCATTTCATGGGCAAAATGAGTAGTAGTGAGCTATGTGTAGATATTTTACAAAGTTAGGTAGTGCAGTATCTTGAAATAATATGCAAGGACTGAACTTAGATATATTTTATCTTACAGATATTTAAATCAAAGTGCCCAAAAAGAAAATGAACAAATAAAACAAGTATGTAATAAATGCACGTTGGAAAGCAAAAATAACAAAAATAAAAAAATAGGGAAAAAATCAATTTTGGTTCTAGTATAATCAAAATTTATAAATTTTGGTCACAATATAAAAAACTCATCAATTTTAGTTCAAATATAAACAATTTCAATCAATTTTGGTCCAACCGTTAAAAAACTAACGAAAATTGCTGACATGGACATAACAGAGGTGACGTGGCAGTTGACCTAAAAAGTACACAACCATATACAATTATACAGGGTCATGTTGTTAATTATACACGGTCATGTTGTTACATGACCATATATATTTCAGTGTATAATTATACATGGTCATGTTGTTATATGACCATGTATATTTAAGTGTATAATTATACATGACCATGTTGTTACACGACCATGTATAATTCTACACGACCGTGTATCTTTCTGTTTCGGTCTAAAATTTTAATTTTTTGTTATATTTTTTAATTTTTTTTAAAATTTAAAATAGTTGATATAGTTAAAATGGAAAAAAAATCGATAATAATCATAATATAATTAAAATATATCAATTTTAGTTCAAATATAAATATTTATCGAGTATGTTCTTTTGAAAGATTTTGTCTAAAATTCTACTCTTTAGCAAAAAAATTTCTCTTACAAACATCAAATTACTGTATTGAAATAATAAATTAATTTTTAATACTACTATAATATACAAAAAAAAAAATTAAAAAATAGCTGTGTAATTGGATGTTTGTAAAAGATTTTTTTTTTTTTTTTTATGAATAATAAAATTTTAGACAAAACATTTCAAAAGAATATATTTTATAAATTTTTATATTTGAATTATCAATTTTAATTATATTATAATTACTATTGATTTTGTCCATTTTAACTGTATCAACTATTTTAAATTCAAAATAATTTTTTTAAAAAAAATATAAAAAAAATAAAATTTTAAACTAAAATAGAAATGTACATGGGGGTGTATAATTGTACATGACCGTGTAACAACATGACCATGTATAATTATACACTGAAATATATATGATCATGTAACAACATAGCCGTGTATAATTGTACATGACCGTGTATTTTCCCACGTCGGCAATTTTCGTTAGTTTTTTAACGGTGAGTCCAAAATTGATTGAAATTGTTTATATTAAGACTAAAATTGATGAGTTTTTTTTATATTGAGACCAAAATTGATAAATTTTGAATATATTGAGACCAAAATTGATTTTTTTTTTTAAAAAAAATAAAAATAAAAATATTTAACCTTTTTTAACCGCTTAAAATTCGAATTAACAGCCACCGTCACAGTTCATTTAACCTTTCACCGTAATCTAAATTCCGAGCTCGCCCGATTCCCTCTAATGGAGTCCAGATACTTGCGAAATCCCATCTTTTGCGCACGATATCTCTAACCCATTCCGGACTCTTCTTCCAATTGTACATGTATATATCCCTTAGCGGTGCTGATTGATTGAAATGCATGTGCTGTATGGATAGGCAGGCGGGGAGAGGAGAGAGAAGGGTGGGGATTGGGGCGACGGAGAGCTAAGAAATGAGCGTTTGTTTGCGGCGCGGGGGTTCGGAATTTTGGATCGGAGATTGGTAGTGGAGTTCGCTTGTGTGGAGTGATTTAGGGTAGGTTTCTGAAGATTGGGGGAGGATGAGGGTTTTGAGTGACTCGTGGTGTTTCTGCAATGGTGGGGGTAAGTCGGAGAGAATGAAGGCTGGCATTTTCTCCGGGAAGGCTCCGGCGATGGCGAGAGTAAACGGCGGGGGCACAGGATTCCTGATCCACCGGAATCTGCTTCTGACGACCCACGCGAATTTGCCGTCAGTTGCCGCCGCTGAAGCGGCCGAGATCCGAATCCACAATGGCCTGTCCGCCGCCCTGGTTCCTCATAGGTAAGATTTTTGTAGGATTTCGCATCTACAGATATGCATATAATGAATGCTTGCGTATGATTGCGATATATATATATATATATATATATATATGAATAGGTGACACTGGACAGTGGTTGGTGTTGGGGCCTATCGAATGAATTGAGCTTTACTTTTCAAAGTGAATTTGGATAGATTTTTTGATTTCTTTTGGATCTGATGGAAATGAGGATTTTGTGCTTGAGATAGAATGTTGTTCTTGGATTATGCGATTGAAGGGTTCAAAAATTGTGGTAAAGATTTCAGATGATCGGAAATTTGGGTTCTAATATTGATTTGGTGGTAGCCGATGGGTCGGTGAAATGTGGATTTATGTTATGTATAGTTTTGAGTGAAATGAACAATCTCAACCATCAGGAAGTTAGTGATGGGAGTGTATGGTAAAATGTCGAATAGCTAGATCAAAATTCAGACAAGTAAACTAATCTCAGTGTCTGTTTCTTGTCAATTTCATAGTAACTAATGAAGATAGATTAAGGTAATGAGAGTTTTGTTATGTTATTGGTCCGATACTGCCAATAACATGCTTGATGATAGTGTGCTGTTGATCTTGGAAATGGGATGTGTTGAAAACACCAAAGAACTTTCAATGGAAACTATTACATTTCGTATGTTATGAATTTTGATAAAATCTTAGGCTTAAGGAGGGTATGCTTTTAGTTTTGATGCAGGTAAAATATTTTATCGTATTCGAAGCAAGTGCATTAATTATTTGCATCCGTGGTAGTAATCTAACATTCCTCTACAGCAGATCAACGAGTTAGCACGTGTCAAAATCAGAAGTTATATTAGTAATCATTACACAGAATATCGATCTCGCATTTGTTGGCTAAGTTCTAAAATAGGTGACGACATTATTTAGTTGCAATAAATGTACTGCTTTATGCTTGTGGTATCTAAGCACAACTGTTTTATTTACAATGTTTCCATCGTCATTGTTGTGACAATAGTAATTTGCTAAACAGTTCATGTTCTTATACTCTGTAGCATGCCGATAGATGTATAAAGTTATAGTTCTATGTGCTGGCATAACTTTCCAGTAAATGATATCGAATCAGAACCTTTCAACTAGCTAATACAGAAATGTACAGAAAGGCAATACATTTTACGAAATATGTATTGTCTAATTTTAACTATGGCTACAAATTTGTAGATACTTGTAAACATGGTGTCAAATAGCTTGATATTTCTAATTTCTTCACTTGTTTCCCCGGATTCTTGAGATAGGACAGTAATACGACCAGTGATTTCCTAATGACTTCCTTTTTTGATTCAGGTTCTTCATAACTAGCTCGGTTCTTGATCTGACAATGGTTGGCCTTGATGCCATTGATGGAGAGTCGAATGCTCCCCCCCTATTGCAATCTCATTACTTGAAAACTTTTTCGAAACCAAATCTAGAGTTGGGAAATGCGGTTTATCTTATGGGGTACACAGAAAAACTGGAGCTGAGCGTTGGGGAAGGAAAGGTTGTAATAGCTACAGATAATCTGATAAAATTATCGACTGATGGAGTGACTTGGAGCCCGGGATCTGCTGGTTTTGACGACCACGGAAATCTTGCTTTCATGGTATGTGATCCTATGAAGCTTGCAACTTCTCCAAATACCAAATCCTCCTCGACTTCAACGTCTTCCACATCTTCATGGAAGAAAGACTTCCCAATGCAATTCGGTATCCCTATTCCTGTCATCCTTGATTGGCTACACCAGCATTGGGACGGAAACCTCGATGAACTTAACAAACCAAAGTTACCTCTGTTGAGATTGATGTCATCCGGCCAGAAAAGCGAGCATTCTTGCGCATCATTCACAATGCGCCGGGTTTTTAAGTCAGCTGAAGGTGAAAATGAGGCTGGATCATCGCCATCCATTGTGAGATCTAAACAAACAGAGCAGCCCGGACCAAGTTCAGCAATTGTTAATGCTATGGAAGACGAAAACTTTACTGGAGATTCACAAGGTGCTTGTGCTACAAGAGAGGCCGGTATTCCAACCCCAGAAATTTACGAATCCCGAATGTTGTCTTCAGCTCCAGTTAAGGCAAAGGATGTCGCCCAGGTTCAGCTCTTGGATATCAATTTCCCACCGAGGACTGCCAAAGCCTCAATACCGCCCAAACCATCCAAGAAAATGGTGCCGAAATCTGATCAAAACTTCGGCAAGGATTCCCTGAAGCAGCCACCGATGGAAGCAGCACAAAATGTGCCAGCCGGAGCTGCGCCAGATGCTGAATCCACCGGCTCTGTCAATGGCGGCCGGAGCGAGGCCCAATCCCAATCCAGCTCTTCCCCTGTCGAAATCTCGGGGCTGCAGCAGCATGAATGCAGCAGCGATGGAGAAACCACCATGTACTCTGCTGAAACAGCCGAAAGTCGAAACATTCCGAGCCCTGTGGGAGGGAGGCTCAAGGGAGTCGGAAGGAGCCAAAGCTGTGTGAACTACAACAACCGATGGGGGACAGGGCAGAAAACCGTGGTCGCCCGGGGAGCTTTGTTGGAGAAGCACCGTAGCTTCACCCAAGTAAGGAAGGTTTGTTCGCAAGGCGCGACCTCTCAGAGGAGCAACGATTACTTCAGCCCCACACTGTCATCGCTGATGAAGAAACGGAACTTGGAACAGCAGCAAAACAGGCCGCTGCCGCCTCCCCCTCCTCCTCCCCGGCAGAGTGCCGTCCAAACATCTCCCAGGTGGATGTTTTGACAATTATCTTCTTCTTCCATAGGTGAAAGGTACTACTTACTACTTGGTACTACTACTTCTTTGATATGTGGGCTGCTGCATTGCTCTACATCTTTTACTGTGCCTGCTATATACATACCTGTAATTAATAAGTGCTGTGGTTAAGAACTGAGACTGTTTTTATTTTTATTTTTTCGATTTATTTGAATTGGGGTACAAAAAGGATGTTCCTTTTCATCTCCAAACTGCTGCTGCTGAGATTATTCATTTGCTTCTGGAAAAAGACAATTTATTATTATATTTTTTTTCGAACTTCTTATAAGGTGACTAATGCAGCTCTGATAAATCCATTATGATGATTTCATTATGGATAGCAAAGGTAGAAAGTACAATTGATTGCCCCTATCTTCTTTTATATATATACTTCTTATTAGATATATATATATATATTGCCCCTATCTTATTTTTATATATATACTTCTTATTAGATATATATATATACACATATATATATATATATTGCCCCTATCCTATCTTTTATGTATATACTTCTTATCATATATATATATATATATTATTCCAAAATATTTTTGGCCTCCGAAGATGATCAGCTCATATGGAGTAGATGGGGCATCCTAAACATTCCTAGCCTAACCCAAGATTATGTGTGGATAAATTTTTTGTAAAAGTCCAATTTAAGTAATGGAAAAGTGGGTCTAATGTTGCTTCAGGTTGAAAAAATTTAGGAGCAAAATCAATTTATGCATATTTAAGCCAAAATTTTAGGAGATAAAAAAGAGAGACCGTCTTAGAACTACAATAATTTAGATTTTCTTTTCATTATTCTTTTATACTATTTTTTGTTTATTTTCAGTTTTTTTTCTAGACTATGTTCTTACATTGTTGTTACTTTGAATTCTAAAAATTCATCCGTGATCTACTTTATTTTTTTATTGCCTTTTCTCTACTTTGTTGCATGTTTATACTCTAGCAATTTATTTTCTAGTTACAAACAGCAATATTCGTTGTGAGATTAGTTTGGATATTTTATTGAGTAGACCGGACGACCCGATTTAATTTCGATATCGACAAGCCCAAACCGATTAAGCTGTCATCAACAAGCCCAAACCGATTAAGTTGTCATGCTCAGTGGTACTCCAACGAGTCTCGTATTTCATGCAACTAAGAAATCATTGCAGAATATCACATCCGGATGTACCAGTAGCTCCTATTCCAGAGGATGAGCTGGTCATCGAAATATTGGAGGATGATATGACATTGATTGCTAGTCTGGATATCATTGTAAATGACCGAGACCTGGATGGAATACAATCTCACTATGAAAAGATTCAAAATCCACATGGAGGCCGATGTACAACCTATTTGCCCTTTTGTTCGTAATGAATAAGGATTGATAATTGGTATGGAACCTGGAGGGACGTACTCGTGAGGCATGCGGAGTTATCGAAGGATCCGAATCTTTCCCGGTGCATACTCTTAAGAGGTAGGAATATTCGTCACGCCCGCTGCCTTCTCCGGAGGATAAAAATACAAAAAGAGCTTCTCTCTCCGATCTGGAGGGCTACTCCATCATTCGCGGCTTAGGATCCTATCGAAAAAATCAACCTTGACGATGATTCAACCCCTAGATGATGCGGATCAGTTTGTTGCTACTCTCGGATGACGCATAGCAATTTGTTGTTACCTCCGAAACATAAGCAACGATACGTCTTTGATCCTGGAATACCGGGATTGCTTTGCTTGGGATTACCACGAGATGTTGAGCATCGACTACTCACAAAGCCGTCGTTCAAGCCCCACAAGATGTCCCATGACTACTCAAACACGGAGGTGATGCCAAAAATAAAAAAATAAAGAAAAGAAGCTCTACGAAGATGGATGAACCAATTTTAGACATAGGAAGTTGTTATAATGAAAGTATTTTGTTAAACTCTGAGCCAAGATACCGCCAAAATTTCATACAAAAATATTGAACTTTCAAAGTTCCGTAAATTTGTTGCCCAAATATTTTTTGTAAAAGATATTTGTTACTCCAAAAAATTTTGTGTAACTGGAGATGATAGCAACCCACATTGGAGGAGTTGATGGGCCAGATAACATTCCTAGCCTAGCCCAAAGTTCTGTGAGCATAAAGATTTTGCCAAAGCTCAATTCAAGTAATGGAAAGGTGGATCCAATGTTGTTCTTTAAAAAGTGAAGAGGTTGAGAAACTTGGGAACTAGACCCATCTATGGCTATTTAAGCCAAAATTTTAGGAGATAAAAGGGCGACCATCATCATTCGAACAAGTACAATAATTCAGATTTTTTCATACTATTTCTTGTTATTTTGAATTCTCAAAATCTATCCGTGTTTTTCTTTGATTTTTACCGTCTTCCTCCACTTTGTTGCATTTTTACAGTTTAGCAATTTATTTCCCAATTAGTAATTTTCGTTGCGAGACTAATCCGGATACTTTTTTAAGTAGATCGGAAGATTCGATTTTGATTTCGATATCGACAGGTCCAAATCGATTCAGCCGTCAACGTCGAATTTTCAACGATAACAATATATATATATATTCGAAGGGGTACGAGAAGATACTTAAAAAAGAAGTTAGGGTGTGTTCTTCCCCCATTCCAAAATATAAATTTTTTCAAAAAAAATAAACATATTATATATATTTATTATATTTATATTACTTACAGGATTATATATATATAAAAATATTTCTTCAAATAATTTACTAAACAAAAACACACGAATTCTAAGGATTTTTTTTCTTTCAATATTTTGATTAATTGTTATATTTATAAGATTTTTAAAAATAATTTTATACAAGAAATGTGGGTCAGATAATCATTATTTGTATATACATATTTTTTAATTGTTTTCTTAATTTAATTTTTTTTTTATTCTTTAAAGTTTTGATTGATTGTTCAATAAGCGGAGCACACATCTACTCTTGTATTGATTTCTATCTTATGTTATTTATTACTACTATTTTATTTATGTATGTGATGAATGTCTCGATCGATTTTATGTACTAGCATATTAAATAAGAATAATATTTATGTTACAAATATAATCTATAAATTTATGCATTTCTAATTAAAAAAATCACAACTTTAAAATTCATTGAATAAAAATAAAATATTTGCTTTACACTAATTTTTTTAATTAAATATGTAAAAATTTAAAATGTGTAATATAATCTATAAATTTATATATTTCTAATTTAAAAATCACAATTTTAAAAATAATTAAATAAAACTAAAATATTTGTTTTACACTAATTTTTTTATCAAATATTTAAAATTTAAAAAGTATTATAATAAAATTAAAGATTGAATGAGAACACACGTATATTTTATAAACAATTATTTTATATCAATCTTATTTATGTATATTTAATTTTTTAGAATTATAATTTTTGTATTTTTTCATTGAGATGAAATAAATCATTTTTATTGAAAAATATTGATTTGAATTAAAAATTTTAAAAGAACAACTCCAAGTATTTTGTTATATTTTAAAAATAGTAAAATTTAAATTGAAAATTTTATTATATTTTAAAAATAGTAAAATTCTAATTGAAATATTTATATGATTTGATATAAATAAAGATTAATATGATATTTATATGAAAAATAAAATAAAATGCAATATTTTAATTAAAAATAAACATGTGATATTAGAAGAAGAGTATTTTTTTGTGTAAATATTTTTTTATTACATTTAAATTTAGCAAGAAAATTTATATAAATAAGATAAATTTGAGTATATTTTTAATTTGATATTTCAAAATTATTTCGAAACATTTAGGCTCGGCAAAAGAAAAAAGATTGTTCAACCAATCAGCCTAAATAAAGCAAAGTCCAATTTAAATAATTATTTTATTTTATTCTAGATAATGACAGATTAATGGATAAAATTGAATCTAAAAACTATGTAAATTAGATTAGGTACTAGTATGTATAGAGCCAAAGAGATATGCAAACACAATGTATTTTCACTTTGAAATTTCATGCAATTCATCTTTTTTCTTTTTCCTTCCTACAGCCTACTTGGTGCTTTTTCTTTTTTTTTTTTTTCTTTGGCTTTCTTTAATTTCTTGTCTATCTTACTTTTATTTTATTAAAAATTTTGAGGGAAAATAATAAGATTGTCTTATTATCGTCAAAATAAGGAGCCTATATATAGGCCATACAAAATAGACTCGATAAACTCAAATCTAAGTAATCTAATATATGAATAAGATCAAATCTAGATATAAATCTACTAAATCTGAATATCTAAAATATTTTAAACCTCCCCCTCAAACTCAAGTAGTATAACAGAAACTAACTTGAATTTGATGAGAAATTTGAATATAAACATAAAAAGAAAACATAAATAAAATTAGCAGTTGACTCTCCACCCACCGGAGTAAAAAACGAAATGACTCTCCACCGGAGTAAAAACTGAGATGACTCTCCACTGGAGCAAAAAATGAGATGACTTCACTGGAGCCGAAAACAATATGACTCCACCAGAGCCGAAAACGACATGACTCCACAGAAGCCGAACACGAGATGACTCTCCACCGGAGCTGAAAACAGGCAGAAAATGAGATGACTCAATCGGAGCCGAAAACGACATGACTCCACCGGAGCCGGAAACAATAGGACTCCACCGGAGCCTAAAACGAGATGACTCCACTGGAGCCGAAAACGACATGACTTCACCGGAGCCATTGAAAACGAGATGACTCCACCGGAGCCGAAAACGAGATAACTCTACTTGAGTCGAAAATCACATGACTCCATCGGAGCCAAAAACCACATAACTCCACCGGAGGCAAAAACGAGATGACTCCACCGGAGCCGAAAATAAGATGACTCCACCGGAGCCGAAAAACGAGATGACTTCACTGGAGCCTAAAACGACAGGACTCCACTGAAGCCGAAAATGACATGACTCCACCGGAGCAAAAAACAGACAAATCGCAAACATCGGACAAATCAGATCGCACGCAGGCACCAGACAAACAACAGACATATGGCAGATTATAGACATATTTCTGGCAACAAATAAGCAACGAAAGATGGTAGATCGCATGCAGGCAACATACAGGCAACGACAGATGGCAGATCGCACGCAGCAACAGACAGACAACGACAGATGGCAGATCGCACGCAGCAACAGACATACAATGGACATATGACAGATCGTTTCAGATTGCTCGCAGGCAACAGACAAACAACGAAGATTTCAGATTGCACACAGGCAACGGACAAGCAACGAAGATTTCAGATTGCACACATGCAACAGACAAGCAACGGAC